ATAGCTCTGATCAAGTTGATCAGTAGGGGAATCTTTAGCTTTGGAGCAGAGAGGGACAGAGGAAAAGAAGTGGTAAGGAAGAGTGTCTTAAGATGCTTTTTAGGGCGCTGTTCTCTCACTTTAAGCCAAGCCTCTCTGCTGACATCATGATGAGAGCAGAAAGTACTAATCCTTTGCTGCAGTGATTCCTCTTTTCAGATTGCTATGCCCATCTATGGCTTCCCTGGTGGCTCAGATGGTGAAGAGTCTGCCTGCAGTGTGGGAGACCCAGGTTCGATCCCTGGGTCGGGAAGATCCCCTGGAGAAGGAAATGGCAACCCACTCAGTATTCTTGCCTGGACGAGCCCATGGACAGAGGAGTCTGAAAGGCTGTAGTCCATGGGGTCGCAGAGTCAGACACAACTGAGTTTGCCCATATATTGCCCATTTTGCCCTGGTTGTTTTTCTTTTGGCTAATACAAGATTGGCACCCAGTACAGTTGACGTATAGAAGGCTGCTTCCCTATCATAATTTTCCCTTTTAATATCCTTTGTATATATCCCTCCCTTGGGTGATATCATCATCATGGCCCTTACATTTGCATCTCCAAACTGGTACCATGGAGACCATCATTATGAAGAACTTTTACAATTTGTTAATGTAATGACAAAGTATGCAGATAAAAATAGCATCCAGTTAGGAGTCTAGGTTGTAGACATAAAAATTTGAAACCTGAATTTATTTACCATTAATAGAAATACTACAGTTTGTACAAGACATATACTAGTAATTAATGACCTCTTTTGCAAGTTTTTGTCTAAGTTGGGGGGGAAAAGGAAAGGCATCCATGTTTGTGGACAGGGAGAAGAATATAAGGTGTCAGGATGAAAGACCAAGGTGATTGAAACATATTTTCTTACCATGGGAAATACCTTACCCAGAACTGAAGGGCATGAACTATCTTCCTACCTCTGAAGGATGCACCCTTCTCTGTAGGCAATTGCATTTAAGGCTGCAATGACATTTCTAAGAATTCACTTTCCTCTCTTTGCCAATGTTTCTCTTCCTCATTAGCCTACTGCACAAAGAGGAGAGCTTCCAGAAAATAATTGATATTTACTGGGCATCTGCAACTGTGCAAAGTGCCTTTATGAATGGGATCAAACTTAACCCTAAAAACTATTAATTTCCTGGGTGAGAATATAGCAACTCAAGACATTTACCTAATATGTCTAAATGTCAGGCAATTAATATGTAGAAGAGTCATGATTCAAACCCAGATCTGTTTGACCCCAAACACTGAGATTTGCTCTTTGGAAGCTTTATAAAGAATACTTTGGCCACCTGATGTGAAGAGCTGACTCATTAGAAAAGACTGAAGGCAAAAGAAGAGGGTGGCAGACGGGGGGATGTTTAGATAGTATCACTGACTCAATGGACATGAATATGAACAAACTCCAGGAGACAGAGCAGGATGGAGAAGCCTGCATTTCACGGGGTGGCAAAGAGTTGGACACGACTTAGTGACTGAACAACAACAAAAACAATAAAGGAGAAGGATTTGAGAAATCTCTTGATGAAAACTTAAAAATTGATAGAACATTTGTCATTTTCTGCCTCATCTTATTAACCATGGAATCAATTTGACACTTCCCTGAAAATATGTCCTACAAAAGCTCTTATTTTTTTTCTTGCATCACCCGTACATCTCAGAAATGTGTATGTCCAAATTGAGGGGACCCTCTCAAAAATGGATATAGAGTAGCTGGCTAATTAAAATAATGAGAGAATTTGTAGCCAAACCTAAGATACAAAAATGATTTCCTACAGAGGTTTTATTATTGTTGTCAGTTTGTTTCATTTTCCATTTATTTTTTCTAGAGTTGTTTTCCATGGAGTCCCTGCTTATAATGGTCCTTTCTGTTAGTAAATCAGTGACCAGAGTGGACAACAAGAAAGACTATCTCAGGACATGGTGCTGTCTCCTCTGATACGGCCCTCCCTGCAGAAAAACTCATCCTCCCATTGGTGCTGAAGTCTAGATCTAAAGGGGGGATATTATATGCATTCAAGCAACAGTAACCACCTAAGTGCCAAGCTAGTCTGGTTAGACATGCTTCTCGTCTAACTATACCTACCCCTCACCAGTTCACCAGCTCTGGAGGACCTGGATTCTGGTGCTAAGTTTTCCAGTTAGAAGGATTCCTGAGTTCCCTGGAAGCACAACCCAGAGGACAACCAAAGGTTTTTATTATTTGGTCCTAATCGCAACCCCATGAGGCATGCTTGATATCAACTTGTGCCTCATTTTAAAGATGAACAAGTGAGGCTCTGGCAGGACAAACGACTCATTCTAAAGCATGTGCTTGGAATATGCCCAGGAACAGACCTTCAGACCGTTTATTTTCCACCTCTCAAACTAATCTTAAAATCCATATGTGAAACATTTTTTAAAAGTTCTCGAGAGTCTACTGATGAATCACGCAGAGACAATAAATGGTTCAGTCAGCTGGGCACTTTGATGAGCTTTCATTTCCTAGTTTCAGTGTGACTGAGGGGACTCAGCTGTTCAGAATATGAAGCATCTTGAATTCACAGGCTGGTGTCCTGCTCAGATACATGTTTTCCACTAGTGTTTGATTTTCAGTTACCTTCATGTATAAGCCAGCCTGCTGTCATCTGGAGGAACAGTTTTGCATGGATTGCATACTGAAGAGTATATTTTTAAGCCACGGCTGCCACAGGTTTACAAAAAATAAAAACACTCAGGTCATGTTCCCACCAAACTGCACAATGGGTAACAGGGTGGGACTCAATACGTGACATTTCTTGGGGATGTCATTCATATCAGAGAGGTATATTTGACCAAGCAATTTAATTTATTTTCTTCATAAATTTTTTCATATTTATTTTTATTCATGATGGCATGGCATTTTGACATTTCAGATCATTAAAATACAATAAATATTTTAACATTTAATTTGTGAAAGCCTTCAATTCAAATAAAATTATGAGAAGGAAAAAATAACATTTGAAGTAATTTATGTAGATATGTCAATTTTTTGGTATTTGTTAAGCGTAGAACAATGGTATAGCCTACAATAGGAAAGAACACTCAGCAAATGGAATGTTAAGTTTACATTCTATTTGACCAGCTTTAAAAGAAAAATCATGATTTTTCATAGTGCATATAATTTTTCTCCAGTGATAAGAGCAATATATACTAATCATACAAACTTCAGAAAATATAGAGATGAAGGCTGGCGGTTCTGCCCTGTTTTGATTGAGAGATTGGCAGCAAAGGGCAGAAGATGTGTCATTAATAATTCTTGCCAAAAACCAGCCAACACATACACCTTAGCTTCTGCAATACTCAGAGTATCTATTCAGTCCTAAATGAAATTGAACCTGGTATAAATATTTTTTGTTTTTTATCTCACACAGAATATGTTACATTTTCTTTAACCTAAAAATATGAATTCAGCTTTTAAATTCTAGGATAATTTTTCCTACCACAAGAGCTAATTCATGGTATTATCAATTCATTCAAAGCAATGGGCCATCATCTTGGTTATAACCTTGCTAAAAATTACTGATTTCTAACTCACAAAATGAGGCATGCCATATTGAGTGTGTGTGTATATGTGTGTGTGTGTGTCTGCGTCTGTGTAATTTGATGGAGCATATTCAAAACTTCCACTGTTTTATAATAGCTATGTTTTCCAAGGCAGAGCATATGGTCTAGAAAAAAATCTTTTTGGCGAGTAGAGATATGCAGAAAACATGATTAGGAAGCATTTTGGAATAGGTTACAAAAGATTGAGAAATACATGAAAACCAACATCTGGAACTTGGGTTAAACCTTTCCCAGAACATGGTTACAACATCTGTTCAACAAATATTTATTGAATGTCTGCTGTGTGTCCAGCACTGGAGGGACTGAGATGAAGCAGATAAAAGCCCCTGTTTTCCAGAAGTCCACAGTCTAGGAGAGAACCAAGTATTTTATGCCAACAAATAATGACAGAAGAGTGGGAGACTGATTTGTATAGGAATGTACAGTGTGCTGAGTCCCAATGGAGATTAGGGGAGAGTCTAGAAAGGGCTTCCTGAAGGTGACTTTGGATTCAGTTTTGAGGCTTGAGAAACTCAGTGGTCATGATTAAAGGAACTTTGGCTGGGTGGAAGGGCATTTTAAAGCAAAGGGTCAAAGTCAAGGCATACAAAGAATATGGTGTGCTGAGTAAGAGTCGTTAAGTTCTGCACAGCAGGCTGAACTGGGCTGTGTGGGAAACAGCAGGCGTGAGCCTGGAAGGCAAGGTAAAATCTAGATCAGGGAACTATCTGGTGATCCACTGTGTAGACGTGGGCTGTGTTGCGTGGGCAACAGAGAAAACATCATTGTTTTAAGCAGGAATGATACTTTCAATGGGTGGCTGATGTTGCTTGAATTTCAGAGAAACTGTAAACCTGCTGCTAGGTTTATAAAATATTTTCATTTTAAAGACAACGTTGCACTTTCGGACTTAGGAGTGGGTTCGTAGTTTGGGCAAGATTTGACAGTGGATTAGAAACCTCTCAAAAACTAACAAAAACTGGCCAAAGGCTTGTCATGAAGTCGGGAAAGTGCACACTCGCCTATCTCATTTAATTGTATTCTTCACTAACAGAGGGTGTGGTTGAAGCCCATAAGTCCTTGTATTTGAGGAAAAGGACAAACACTCAAACAGAAAATGGTGTCCTTACCCAACCACTGAAAGCATTCATATCGACAAAATAAAAAAGAGCCAATTTCTGAATTTTGTTTCCAGATGGGACAGAACTCGGGGATCTTTGTCTTGCCAAATGGCAGCGGCTTCTATAGATGGCTAGATTAGAGGCCGAGTGGGGGCAGTTCTGGTTGTTAGCCTTGGTGGTGAGAAGACCACACTCAGATTAGCCAAGCTGAGCGGAGCAGACTGAAGGCTGTGACCCCCTGGCCTTGCTCTCCAAGCGCGCCTTCTCTCCCCTCTTTCCACAGATAATACCGCGGGGGTGTACGCCCGGCGCGGAGGGTTCAGTCGACAGAAGCAGGATTTGTACCTCCTGCCCATCGTGATCAGTGACGGCGGGATCCCTCCCATGAGCAGCACCAACACCCTCACCATCAAGGTCTGTGGGTGTGACGTGAACGGGGCTCTGCTGTCCTGCAACGCAGAAGCCTACATCCTGAACGCCGGCCTGAGCACCGGGGCGCTGATCGCCATCCTCGCCTGCATCGTCATTCTCCTGGGTAAGGGATCTCCCCGGCCACCCGTGGGAAGGGCCTTTCAACCAGATGCCCATCCTTGACACACGTGTATTTCTCAAGTTACATGTGCTATATACTGTGGTTGCAAGTTGGGACAAAAAAGAAGTGGTGTCTGTCTGCTCATGTGTTTCAGGGTATGGGGCGTGGGGAGCAAGTGACTTAACAAGCATTAGAGCAGAGTTGGGGGAACTTCGTGATGAGCAAAATGCTGGCATCACCGGACTGCTAGCAGAATACATCTGGGGGCATCAACAGGGAAGCAGGTAGAACATCGGAATATTTTGCAGAGAGGAATTTAGGCAGAGACCTAGTATATGAACAACCATTTGCCTTACAAGAAGAATGAGAAGAGTTAGCGGTAGAAAGAGTAATTGTGATGTCAAAGACGGTCTATGGAGGACTCAAGGAACTGGATGAAGATTGGCCTGGCTGAAGCTGGATCTTGGTTCCCCAGCCCAGTTGTCATATGTTATATCTGGGTATATGCCTCAGCTCGGAGGGACCTGGGAGAAGCTTTTCCTGCACTTGCCGGCTGAGTTTGGTGCCCTTCTTCTGTGCATGATCCTGTCTATGGTTTACTCTGTAATAGCAGGAAAGCCTCAGGAAGATTGCATCAGTAGTCCCAAAGTCTCAGAACTCATGTATGACGAAAAAGTCAGGATTCAAACCTAAGTATGTCAGACATCAGTTTATACTGGTCCATGATGGTTAGTTGTCTACTGAATGAATTAATGGATCCTCGATGCATAGGAAAGAGCCAACGAGTTGAATTCAACAAATAGTTAATGAGTATTTTCAGGATACCAGGCCCTGTGTTCAGCCCAGAGGGATAGAGAGAAGAATTATACAAGATCTCAGTGATCAAAAAGTTCACCATCTATTGAGGAAAATAGGCATGAACAGATAAATACAGAGGCACATGGTGAGCACTGTGATGGGGATATGAACATAACAGGCAGTGGGGGCCCAAGAGGAGAAAGTGCCTGACATTGAGTGGGACGGTCAGAGACATCTTTCTGGAGGATGTAACACACCTATCAGATGCTAAGTGTTCCATCTGAGGAAAGGGGCTGGGATGGATGGATAGTGCAAACAGAGGGGGCAGAAGACAGAAATGTTCTGAGAAGTTCATCATCGAGTGGGGGAGGCAGATGTGGGAACAGTGTAACAGGTGTCATGGTGATGGCCAGGTGGATACAGAGAACGGATACCAGCAGTCCTGTCTGGTATCAGGAAGGATTTTTGTGATGAAAGATAAAGAGTCATCCAAGCAAAGAAAGTGAGAAGGCGTGATCCTGGTGAAGGTATTGTTAGGAGCTAGCACAGGGGGAAAGCGCTGCCTAGTGAGCACTGGAGGCCATTCAGAGTCTAGGCAGGTGCACACCCGCATCCTGCATCTCACATGGTGGTGGATCCAGAGGGGCTCTAAGGTCACTTGCCAAATTCAGTCACAAATTTTCTGCAGTCTTGCTGAGTATGTGGTTGCTGTTGTTTGGTTACCAAGTGGTGTCTGACTCTTTTATGACCCCGTGGACACCACATGACCCCGTGCCAGTCTCCTCTGTCTATGGGGTTTTCCAGGCAAGAATACTGGAGTGGGTTGCCATTTCTTTTTCCAAGGGATCTTCCTGACCCATGTCTCCTGTACTGGCAGGTGGATTCGGTACCACTGAGCCACCAGGGAAGCCCATGTGTTCCAATGAAAGACTATAGAAGCCTCTTATGGGGAAGTGGGGGAATTGTCAGAGGAATGAAGCAGTGGCTGAGCTTTCCTTGTAAGCAACTCTGCTCACTTATCCTAGATGGCCTGAGTTCAGTGGAATCCCCTCTCTCAGAGAAGAGACAATAACAGTGGTTTCGTCTGGAGTTTCAGCTGACACAGTTTTCTGTTCAAACAAATAGAGATTTTTCATTTGTCTGTTGGGGGTCTTTATAAGCTACCTCTCTTCTATATGGTGGTCTGAAGAGAGTCTAGCTACGCTTATGATATAGTATCTTATAAAGGTGTAGTTGGTTCAGTGCTGGCCTCACCTTAGAGCTCTTGCAACCTCTTTTAGACAGGGCTTCAAGTCTCTCGTGACTTCATTTGTAAACTTTGGAGAGGCAGCTGCTTTCCTTTGCAAAAAGAAACCAGCATAACCCACATTTAAGAGGCTGCAGACAGACAGACAGACATATTTAGAATCTTCCTAATTCTTTGGAAGATGACTTCCAAATAGTATTAGATTGATTTGTAAAAAGCTCACAATAGTTCCAACTTGCCAGTTTGTTTGGATAGCAATAGTTTCCTGGCAGCATTTTTGCAGAGGAAGAGACAGGTGGAGGGCAGCTTTTGCACATCTTTGAGGATTCCAGGTAAAGCACTCATTTCATAGACTGGTCCCTGTTCTGAAGCATGTGTACTCCATGCTTTAAGGTAAGCAGAGTTCCCCTGGGAAAAGAACCCCAGAAGACTGGACTTAACCTTTGCTTCCTTTCTCTGTCTTTCCCTGTAGTCATTGTAGTGTTGTTCGTGACCCTGAGAAGGCAAAAGAAAGAACCACTCATCGTCTTCGAGGAGGAAGATGTCCGTGAGAACATCATCACCTATGATGACGAGGGCGGTGGGGAAGAAGACACAGAAGCCTTTGATATCGCCACGCTCCAGAACCCCGACGGTATCAATGGATTTATCCCTCGCAAAGACATCAAACCTGAGTATCAGTACATGCCTAGACCTGGGCTCCGGCCAGCACCCAACAGTGTGGACGTGGATGACTTCATCAACACGAGAATACAGGAGGCGGATAACGACCCCACTGCCCCTCCTTATGACTCCATCCAAATCTACGGCTACGAAGGCAGGGGCTCCGTGGCTGGGTCCCTGAGCTCCTTAGAGTCGGCCACCACGGACTCGGACTTGGACTACGACTACCTGCAGAACTGGGGCCCTCGCTTTAAGAAACTAGCGGACTTGTACGGTTCCAAAGACGCTTTTGATGACGACTCTTAACAATAACGATACAAATTTGGCCTTAAGAACTGTGTCTGGCGTTCTGAGGAATCTAGAAGATATGAAAACAGGTATTTTTTTAAATCAAGGAAAGGCTCATTTAAAACAAGCAAAGTTTTACAGAGAGGATGCATTTAATAAAACTGCAAGGACATCAAAGTGGTAAATACTGTGAAGTACCTTTTCTCACAAAAAGGCAAATATTGAAGTTGTTTATCAACTTGGCTAGAGAAAAACCACTTGGCATACAAAATATTTAAGAGAAGGGGAAGTCTTAACGGTGAACTCACAATGAAGGGAAATTGTTTATGTGTCATGAACATTGAACTTTTTTTTTCTTCTTTTTGTTTTTAATTTGTCAAAGATGCTTCCACAAAATTAGAAAGGACAACAGTTCTGAGCTGTAATTTCGCCTTAAACTATGGACACTCTATATGTAGTGCATTTTTAAACTTGAAATATATAATATTCAGCCAGCTTAAACCCATACAATGTATGTACAATACAATGTACAATTATGTCTCTTGAGCATCAATCTTGTTACTGCTGATTCTTGTAAATCTTTTTGCTTCTACTTTCATCTTAAACTAATATGTGCCAGATATAACTGTCTTGTTTCAGTGAGAGGCGCCCTATTTCTATGTCATTTTTAATGTATCTATTTGTACAATTTTAAAGTTCTTATTTTAGTATACATACGAATATCAGTATTCTGACATGTAAGAAATGTTACGGCATCACACTTATATTTTATGAACATTGTACTGTTGCTTTAATATGAGCTTCAATATAAGAAGCAACCTTTGAAATAAAAAAGATTCTTTTTTAATTCTGGGTTTGATTCTTAACATTGAAAACAATTAAGTATTTCTAATTACCCATTTATAATTCTAATTTAAGATATTTGTGATCTTTTCATAACCCTATTTATGATCTGTTATAGTCTGCTGATTTTATTGTTTGTTTAAAATTGGATATGTTTTACAAATGTTTTTTTTTTTTTTTCAGACAAGATTCTGTAACATTGTGTAAAGCTTTTTTGTACATTCTTGGTGTTAGCTTCTTAGCTTTTCTTCACACACATCTTCTATCAAAGAAGGATGCTAAAGATCTAGGTCAGTCTATGATTTTGCAATACTTGTTATATAATATGCACTTATCTTGTATATCAGTAATTTGATGGTTATAAGAAATGAATCCATGTGGGAATGAATCTATTAGAACTCTAAAGTTCAAGATGTGGATGTTATTGTCCCATACCGAGCATTTGGGGGTTGGTGGGGGTGAAGAGTAAAAAATATACATTTGCAACATGTAGTTACAAGATCAGACCTCCAATGTTATTCTAGTTTCCCTTCCTTACTTTGATCTTGCCAGGCTATCATAATGACTCTTGACAGTTGAAACTGCTTCTTTTTCTTTTTATAATTGTAACTCCTTTTAAAACAATGTGGCATTTCAAAGTTGGATCAAAGAAAGAGCAATTCATTTCTGAACCTTTGTTTTAAAATATGCTTTGAGCCATAAGCTCAGAATGAGGGCAGGGACCGTGGTGGGATTCTGAGGTCAACGCCATTTGTGAATATGCCTGCAGTCTCCTGCAGTCCCATCCTGCTGCCGAGGGGTTGGGGCTTCTGTGAAGGATGATTCACCTGCTCTGTAGGGCCAAAGGTCAAAACATAGCAATACTTGGGGAAAGGACACACAGGTCATTCTGTGCTGTAAGTGCTTTTTCTCTTTCCCCTAGACACAGGGCACATGTTTTCTCTTGGATTGCAGATAATTTTTAGATTATCTTCTCTTTTTTTAAACTTTATTGTGGGAGTTTGTTTCAAGCAATTTCTTGATATTCTGCTACAGACTATTTTTATGACTCAGTCAAAATGCATACAAAGAGAAATGTTTTGATGAAGTGCTCACTTCCACATTCCTTTGCATTTGAATCAAATTGTCTGAACACTTCAATGGAATAAGTTCTGTGGACGATGTCACATTGGAATCTCTCATTCCAGTGAAGGATTGCACACTCTCAATACTTCCATAATGACAAGTTTTGTTCATTTTTTATATAGTTTTTGTAATCCAAAGAATATTTTGCTAGGTTTGCACAGATCTCCAATTGAATTTGAAGTGAAGAAATAATTCAAAAGGAAAATGAATAGCACTTAAACAAGTTTACAGCTGTAAGTAACCCCGTCACCGTGGATGATCCTTTTTTCTAGGAATGTATTTGGATTAGATTTGACAACTACATTTTCACATTTTTGTGTTTAAATTTTTTTTAAAGGCTGTTTACTTTTTCAATAGTTAAAATACTTGTTTTTCATTTTTTTCCTTTTTATCTTCTTTTTTACTTTAAGCCTCTATTGTTTGTAGAACCCTTTTAGAAGCTCTCAAATAAAGTGTCTTTCCTGACTAGTGGAGTCCTTTTTCATTTGGAACATATTCCCTTAAAAGCAAGCTTTAGTTTAAGTGGTCCTTCCTTATTTCAATATAAAGTAATCACTGCATTATGACATGGATTCAGCTCAAGAAAGGGCACGGCTTTATTCTTCTTGTCCTTCAGTAGTAGGTATTGCTCCATCCATCATTGATTCACTCATCAAAACGTATTTTGTAGACCCTGTAGTAGTTTCTCAGATACAGAATGAAGAAGCTTCCTTGATACATTCTAGTCTTTCCAAACTTTTCCAAAATACTTATCCCGTTAATCGCCTGTTTACCTCTGCACCCACCTACCTCTCCAGACAATGCATCTGGCTATTTCCTCTCCTTAAGGGTTGAGGGAAGGAAACAAGTCAAAAGCGTAACAGAAGACGATGAGATACTGACTGTGAATGGAGGACCTTTCTGGATAGATCTTGTGTTTGCTAAGTTGCATTTTATAAACCAGTGTTCCTGACATGATGGGGAAAGTAAGAGAGCAGATGATCTACATTTCTTGGAGACCTTATATACACTCAGGTTGCCCAGAGAGGATAGCCTTGTGAATCAGACGGGACCTGGTCAACAGTATTTGAGATTATTCCTGGGTGATTATGCAACGTCCTTCATCTCTTTGCGAGCCTCTGGAGGACAGCGAGGGGCGAGTTGGGATCTCTGAGAAGAGTACTGAAATCTATCTGGCAGGCAGTGTGGACACATTAGGATCATATAAAGCTAGAGGCATTTCAGGAGGCTTTTTATGAATGTCAAAATGTGACATAAGTATTCTAAAGTAATTCAGTAAATTGGTGATGGAAAGAGGCTAGGCTTTGCTGCTTCTGCACTGCTGTCAACTTGGCCTAGCCCATCATCATCTCTGATCTGGAAGATGGAAATAGCCTCCTAAATTGACCTCCTGCTCCCAGCTTCTCCTCAAAGAAGCCAGAGGGATACAAACACCCAACTCAGACCACCTGACTTCATACCTTAAACCTCTTCACTGGCTTTCCAAACTCTTAAATATTGCTTTACATGACTAGTGCCTTGCAAATCTCACCAACTTCACCTTCCACCATTCTCCTATCAGTGCACTGTGATCCAACCACCCTGGCCACCTATTGGTTCCTCATACAGACAAAATGTGCCCCCCTTTCCATCTATAGTGGTTCATCCTCTGTTGGTCTCCTTTGTATCAATTACAACTCTATAAACTTACTTTGCTTATTGGCTTTTCTTTTGTCTATGAGTCTGAATGCCCCACCAGAATGTAAGCCTCAAGGGGGTAGAGGTTTTGTCTTCCTATTGTATGCCCAATCTTTTTCATTGTGCCTGAAACACAGCAATCAATACTTGAATGGATGATGGTACCCAATAAGGCAGACTGATTGGGATTTGATGACTGATTAGAGAATGCCTGTGTGATACTAAGCTTTCTTTACTTGATAAATTGAGTGAATTGTGATCTTGGTATCTGAGATTGTGAATCTAAAAGGAGAAGTGGTGTGGGGGTAAAGAAGTTGAATTAAGTTTGGGGTTGGACTTGTAAATCGCAGGTGCTTCTGTGGCAGCTAAGTGGAGGTAATGAGAAATATGGATTTGCCATTTAGCTCACTAGAGAAGTAGGGCTTGGCATGTGGAGTAAGCCTTATCAGGGGTGAAGTCTCAGGAGTGACTGTATGTCTAATTGGGTTTCACTGCTCTCTCCCAACTCTAAAGGAGTGTTTTGATGGTAATGTAAGTCCCTCTAGTGTTGAAGAGTAATGCTGGCTTTAGTTTTATTAATAAGGATAATTAGTAGGCATAAACTTTATTCATGTATGTCAAATGCTTTGAAAAATAAGAAGGGGATATTAATTAATGCATAATTTTTCTTCAATTAATGAGGGTTTTTTTTTTTTGAGACTGTACTGTATGGGAGAATGTGAACTAGATACACTACACTGATTCCTATGAGAAGACAAAGGGTATGCTATGATCCTCACCTTACTAGACCAGAGAGGCTAAGGATCTCTTCAACACATATACAGGAAATGATTGTCAAAGCTGGATAGGAATAGATCCTGTTTCTCCCACCTGGTGTCAAGGGCTTATCCTTTAAAGAGCTAATCATGATAGCTATTCCTCATCATCGGTGACTTAGCTCAGGCTTGGCAGTAAGAACTTGGGATGGACAGTCCTGTGAGCTGCCATTCACCACAGAACCTGAATGCCTAGCCTGCCTTCCAAGTCCAAAGTGATTCATGAGACAGGATTGTGAATTCTTTCTGCTGGGGTTTGAAGTCTTTTTACAAGATGGCTGTTGATAATCAAATATAAAAGAAACTGATAAGGCATGTCATAGCTGTTTGTAATATGTTTCACAGAGAAGTTTGATATTTCATCCTCTTCGTTGCAATAAAACTGTGCTGGCGGGAAAAGGTCAACGTCTAGAGCCTTTGTCAGGCCCCAGCAGACTGAGAGGAAGAATTGAATTTTCATCTTGCAGGCTAACTCGGCTGATCGTTTTTAGGATCACAGGGCATTTTTTATTCCAGGTGTCATGATACATTTTTTACATGTGATTTTACAGTTATTTG